GATGGCATTGGGGTCGTTGTGCTTGGAGTCCAACTGCTGGGCAATCGAGTCAATCAAAGCCAGTAAATCACTTTCGGGGATCCGCTGTAAACAAGACAATCAATGGGTCAGTGGTGGCGCACATGGGGTGACAGGGCGTGGGGGTGATGGCGGACCTGTTCGGCGACCACATAGTCTTTGGGAACGTAACCCAATTGTCCCAAAGTGTTCACACAATAGACCCAATCGTATGGTTTGGTCTCTTTGATGACAATAAACTTTTCGTCGACTTTGAAGTTCAAGACTTTCGTGTCATTGGATTCGTACTCAAACACCGATCTCAAGATCGTTGTCATCCTCGCTGAGAGCGGTGTCCACCACACTATCGGTGGCTATTGTCTCAATTCAATCGTTAAATCCATGGATCAATTGGTGGCCAAAAATAGCTTCAATTGAATCACATCTGAGAAATGAACACAAAATTTAAAATCAAAACAATATTTCCGTTCAATAAAAACGTCAAACATTTGGCACATATTGTGCGATCAAAATATGACTTTATTATATGAATTAGCGTTGAGTTGTGTGCATAAAAAAGGGCCGAAAGTGCGAACCGTAACGCGATTTATTGCAAACCAATCCTTGAAAATCATTGATTGCTTTGATATCGTTTGAGATCCAGAGGAAGACATTATCCGCAGAAATATGTCCGGAGTCTTGAAATTAGCGATGAATCGGACTTTCGCCACAAGAGTGTCATCGATGGCCACTCAGATGTCGCGGAGATACGCGTCGGGAATGCCTCTGACCTTCTCATCACCCTATCAGGTCTGCCCACAAATGAGTTGATGTGATCATACGGTTACCAAATGTGTTGTTTATGATAATCGCAGGTGTTTTACAACGCGGTGGATGTGAAGCAGGTGGATGTGCCCTCTTTTAGTGGCAGTTTTGGTATCCTTCCCAATCACGTGCCAACACTGGCTGTCCTCAAACCCGGTGTCGTCTCTGTCTATGAGAGCGAGGGAACCGTTAAGAAGTATTTCGGTAATTATCACCGCATCTACTCATATGTCTGCATCACTTGAATGCACTGTTAATGTGATGAATGGTGTGATGTCTGATGCAGTGAGCAGTGGGACGGTTACCATCAACGAGGACTCGTCGGTGCAGGTGTTGGCCGAAGAAGCGGTTCCGGTGGAGAACTTGGACAGCAATGCCGCTCGTGAGGCACTGAATCGGGCGCAACAGGCGTTGAGCTCAGCGTCTGGTGATGTGGCCAAAGCTGAGGCACAGATTGCCGTCGAAGTGAGCGAAGCCTTAGTCCAGGCCTCGCACTGACCACAAGAAGGCACCGATTGATCGATTGATAGGTTTATTAATTAATTGTTTTGAAAATATCGACATCTCTTCACACATTAGATCATTATTGCTATGATTTAGAGATTATATGAATAAATAGTGTAAAGACTTTTAAAAATTAAAATATGCTTAAATAAATACTAAATTATAACTGTGTCCTGGTCATTTTGATGCTTATACAGTAATTCTATAACAGTTCTAATTATGGTTTAAATGTTTCAATACATCTGTTAAATCCAATAAAGGATTTATAAGGATTTATAAGGATTTATAAAAATTATGATACATTTTATTACCAAATAATCCCGATAGCTATATATCATACGATATAATTAATAATCTCGCTCTCATTTGTTAAATGTATTCATTGATTGTACAGTACATATCGGTAACTGTATTACAAATTCAAATTATTCTTGAATTTTGTTTCATGTATTACTGACACAAATCTTTACAAATGAAGTTCTTGTTGTTTGTGGTAAGTGTTGATAATACTGTGAAACATAATAAGAATGCAAATTTGAATAACAGTTACCATTGGTGTGGATAACTGTTGGACTGAACGGCTCTTTCATCGATACTTATATCGATCCTTCGGTTCGTTCCTATTGTGAGGAAACTCAAGAAAAGCTTGAATTCAAGTATTCATTTCGGGGGCGAATGAGCGCTCATGTGAAAGAAGATGTCGTTTATCTCTTCACTGACGACAAAATCTTTTCGGTGTCCGCTCTGTGGGCGGCTCTACAGCCCAAACAGGAGAAGGGCTTTGTTTTGGTCGAAATATTCCTCATGGCTTCAGAGGTTAAACAATTGTCTCAATTCTGGAACAATTTCACAAAGAGTGATGAGGCCTATAATACGGCCTTTTCTGACGCCAAAGATTACAATTCGGCTTATTTTCTGTTTGGTGACAAATACCGCGTTGTGAATATCACGGGCTTTAGGGTGTCTGGAATCCAAGAACCCATCAGTTTCTCTGAAAGTCATTTCGGTTTTTTACAAAACGAAAAGATTAAACAAAAGGGATTTCACAATATATTCGGTGTCGACATGGCGTCCGGCGGGGCATACAATCCGATTCGTGTATACGTCAGGGGTATGTCTTCAGACCATTCATTGTTTGACAAATAAATAACTAGTTTTGTGTTTAATTCAAAAGACACTCAAAACTACGACAAAGCAATTAGTTTTGCGTTTTATAACAGAACCGAAATAACTGAAGAGTTTAGCGGTGGGAAGCGTTACGAGTATTCATTCAATTCGTCGGCGTTTCTCAATACGGGCCGATCTATAGCTCATAATTACAACCATTACTTCGAGTTAAGGACTCGGAGGGGAGTCTTCTCTTTGTTTGATTTCCAATATGTATGCAAACGATGAAACTTTTTTCCACT